TCTTTTATGGAACTCTTATGTTCTTGCTGTGTTTACAATAGCTCAACACCTGCCACTATTCTGAGCCACACACATATCCATTTCACACACCCCAGAACCCGATTTTACTAAAATCCTTTTTAATATTATACTCCCACCTACGCCCAGATCTTCCGAGTGATCTCTTCAAATCAGGCTGTCCAACCAAAATTTTGTACGCATTTCTCATTTCCCCCATGCTCACTACATGCCACTCCTGCTTCGTATTTTGGAGGTCCCGGGTTAGAACCTCGGCCTGGATACCGGCTATTCTGACTGGGATTTTTCCTGGTTTTTCTCAGTCCTTCCAGGTAAATTCCGGGATAACACCTTAAATTAGGCCACAACAGCTTCTTTCCACATCCTTTCCGATTTATTACTGAAGGACCTTTGGGTTGTATTTTTTGATATCAGAAGGGAAGACGACAGATTCTGAAGTACGTAGTAAATAGCATTTCCCGAATTTAGCTTTTTCCTAACGTCCTCATGGATGCGACTGTGATCTGTGACCGTCATGCGTCATGGCGTTTAAAATTAGTTGGTACATGATTCATGTCTTACTGTACTACAGTTCGGAAGCGTGAAGCATGTTTCCGATACTTAATATCCGAACCATCGTAAGTCTACGTCTTCAACTTACATTTCTGTGCATATTTATCGTGTTGTTGCAGAAGAGACACGTCTTCGGGGGTAATTATATCAGAAAATGAGCCAATGTAAATTCTGGAGGCGTCTTCTAAAGACTGGAAACTTAATTAGAAACCGCCTCAAGACTTGCAATAAGCCCAAAATTGAAAGAGTCCATAACTTCGAAGCGGTGCTTCTACAAACACGCATGGACCTCAGACTTTACATACCCACTTCGTGTAGGTACATACTCGTATAAAAGGGCATAAAACAGTGAACTGATTTTATAAACAGACTTAAGTATAAATGGAAGTCAATCATGGCCCACTAACGTACGTACGAGGTGCGATCGGAAAGTTTCAAGACTGCGCCTATAAAAACCCGTACACTTATCTCAGGTATTAAATTCATCCACCCCCCTCGAAGTAGTTCCCCTGGGAGTGAACACAACGA